ACACTGCCATCTACCGGGAAGCCGAAGAAAAGCCTGCCGGGAAAGGGCAGCCAGTGGGAGGTGGGGAACCAACAACTAACTCTGGCGGACTCTTGGTGACCCTGGAGGACAGGGTAGAAGTGCCCTGGTGAGTTTCCAAGATTATGGGAATTGAAAGCTCTATAATTATGGACCTACCCTGATGCAACCAGACCTCTGGAGCCAGAGAAGCCACATGGAGACCCCTGCCAGCGCTCAGATGCTTGCAATGCCACTGGATCCACGGGACTTTCCACTGGCCTGTGATCCTCCTGCATTCGGCATCATTGCATGTGTTTGGTGAGTCTGAAGAGGACTTTATAGATTGGTATCAGACTTATGGACCTGATCTGAACGGGGCTGGGATGTTTTCTCAATATTCACTTGCTCTTGTATATAAACCTCTTCTTATACACGAGTCTCTATGAATTTGTTTCTCTAGTCTACCGGGACGAACACAGCATTTATGTCAAGAAAGTGGCCCACACAGCCACAGAACAGGTCAGCTCATCCCAACTCAAGTCTGTCCTTGAGTCTGGTGCTATCTGGAGGCCTTTCCCACCTCACGGAGCCACCAGAGAAATAAGCCAGGAAGCAGGAAGACCATGGGCCCAGGAGACACAGTGGAGGGAGCTCTAAGGTTGATAGGCCACGTGGCAGGCTGCTAACAGCGGCCAGGGTAGCCAGGTGTGAGATTGCAGGGTGGGGTGGTGTGTGTGTGGGGGGCAGAGAAGCATGGAAAATGTCAGTTTGCTGCAGCATTTCTTATAGCTATCCAATAGGCCACATACCCATGGAGATACCTTCAGGCCGGACTCCACCCTTCTTTTTCTAAAATTTCAAATGCATTTTACTTCTCTAAGAATGCCGTATCTTAATGGGCCCACGGTGCTTGTTCTTGACTCTGAAGTTGATTTTGGAACAATGCAGTCTTATGCCGCCCGCCGGTTGGATTATTAATCTCTCCATTCCTTTGGGGTGACTCTGCCCGCAGGGGACAGGTTCCTTTCTGTTCCCATTTGCGTTGCTGTCTAGGTCCCTACAGCAACACAGAAAGTCGCTCTAAAAAAAATAAATAAATAAATGAATGAATGAATGAATGAATGAATTAATTAAGCAAAAGAAAGTCCGGCTACCCACACTAGCTAAAACAGCAGAGCAATATTTGTCATGGAATTCAGGGTCCGGTCTAATGGCATTGCCATTGTTTGCTGGATGCCTCGCACCTGAAGACGACATAGTGCACTTTGGGGCCCAAGGGAAACATCTCTAATAAGTTCACAGAACAGCGGCAATGGCAGCGACTGGCTGGAAAGCCATGTCGTCTGGACCGTTGTCCCCATATCCTCTTTACAGCTGCAGCCAAGGGGAGACAAACCCTAACGATCGCCGCCTGGCTTTAAGACTACTACTTGCTCTTTCGTCTTCCCAGCATTGCTTCAATGGTGTTGTTTGGGTTGTCCACCTGGAATCCCCAGGTGGCTCCAGCAGGTGACTAATCAACAACAGGCTGAGTTGCAAGCCTACCCCAGGGTGTCTTGGAAGAAAGGCTTGGCGATCCACTTCTGAGACACCAGCCAGGGAAGCTCTCTGGCCCTGCTGCTCCACTCTGACATGCATGGAGTCACCCACCGGTGTTACGGCGTTAGAATCAACTCAGCAGCCGTTGCTGGTTCCCTCGATGAATGCCTTCCTTCCCACCCGGGTTCTAAAGCCCTTGATCCCGTGTTAGGAAATATCTCATTTGGCTCAAGTCCGAGTCGGGGGTCCCAGGCTGCTCCTACCCATTGACCTAAGGTCCTGTGGTTCAAGACCCGGTGTGTTTTATCTTCTGTGCTCCTGGTTTATACCTCATGCTCGACCCAAACCCTGCGGTGCTCAGATGATGACCGCTGACGTGGACAGTGGGAACTCCGGACCAGGCTACCTGGATTGGGGGCCTCGTGGTGCCACTTTCCATGTAGCCTTGGGCACAGCTTTCAATCTGTCTGTGCTCTTTGCCCAGAAGACAAAAGAAAATGTAATCCTCACATGCGTCTCAGAGGTTTATTGGAAAGAATTCCATTATCCTCAAGCAAGTTATACTCGGAAGTGTCTGACACTTGATAATCCTTATCAAAGCATTAACTCTTATCCACATACTCACTGTCATCCGGTCAATGCTGCCTCCTGACCATCCCATAGG